GGCAGGCGCGTCCGTCCTCGGCATCCCGTGCCACCTCTTCCCTTCCCAGCCCGCCAAGGCTCCTGTCAGGGGAGTGGTGGAAGGGAACGGGCCAACATAACAGATTTACGACGAAGAGCATTAGGAATGAGAAATAATTCAAAGGATTTACAAGCGCCCCCCTCCCCCCGCCCCCCGTCGCGCACCCTTCCCTCTGGTGTTATTACTCCAGGGTAATTCTCTGGAAATCCACGAACCATCGCTGCCCCTCACTGCACATTTCATTTCACCGCCAATTACCAGCAGCAGATGCCCCTTCCCTGCTTAGAAAAATGTATTTTTAGCTCTTGTGATAAAGCCCAGAGGCGATTTTCTTCAGTAGCACAATAGCTACTTTCAAATCGATGCAACTCCTCCGCTCCCCCGAAGAGAAAGCTGCTCCATGTCACTGATGCAGCACAAAGCAAACATACCTGATCTCCTTGATGCTCTCGAGTTTGCACATGATTTCTTGCTCATCAGCCATGCTTTTCACTCCCAATTTAAACCTCCCGAGTAATGTACAAAATGCTGGGGGGGGTGGGGGGGAGAGAGAAAAACGTACAATAGACACAATGTAGCCACCCCTCCTAGCATATTGTCTCTGAGCCTGTGCGGTAGGCTGTAGTGGGAGCTATGGGACTTAGAGTCCGGCTCCTCATTGCTGCCCAGCCCGATAGAAAGCAGAAAGACTACAACGCCCACAAGGCAGAGCAGCGCTTTCCTGCTCCTCTTCCTGCAACTACACTTTAAATCAATTTGTCACAGCTAATTATATCAAAGGTTATTAGGAGTGCAAAGGGAGCAGAAGGCTTCCTTCGAGGGTGTGTGCAAAGTTTAACGTTCAGTTAAAATCATGCAATAAACGCAAAGAATTTGTTGGATGAATTTGTGGTTCTTATTTAAAACTTTTGTTTTAGTCTCAAAAGCTTGCTGTTGCCATTACTGCCGTGCTGTTTTCTACTAGATGCTCTGACTGATGTGAGGGTGTCTGGAGTTAAGAAGGGACACGTTTTGTTCTTTGGCATTTTCTTTTTGATTTCTGCCACCATACATAGCATTTTTAATTATGGAAAAGAAAAACAATGCGAGCAAAACTGCTAGCTTAAGAAAAGTGACCATTTGCCTTTCTAAGAACAGTCTAGCCAAGAATATCAGCGTATTTTACTGAGACTGATGAAGAGTCTCAGTCCCTCCTCGGATGGGTAATTATTTTCCTTCAGTTTCTGTAGTGTTCTAAGCACTATGTTTTAAGTTATAGAGAAGTTACATCTCAGCACTTCAGACATTTTCTTATACAATCTGCCCTGAGAAATCCACAGTCTAAGTTCCTAATCCTTCATCCATATACCCAGTCACCCTGGGTTTTACCAGCTTTGATGGGCATGCTGGGCTGAAGGGTCAGTACGTTAAAATGAATGTTAAGTTCAAGGTCTAGAGGGACAACAGGGGAACTGGATCCTACAAACATCTACTTCCACGTGTAAGTGTGTACAAGCAGCAGTACCGCAGTCTTACTGAATATAATGGACCACTTCTATAAGTCAGTAGCATGAGGTTGATGAAAACAAGGCAATTATTCCGGAATATATTACAGAACTGTTACGCGGAAGGCATCAGAAGTACTTACTAACCTCTACTCAGCACTGATGAAACTTGCTGGTGTCTGGTCTGAGACTTTAAAGAGGATGTGAAAAATAAAAATGGAGGAGAATACGGAGGAGAACAATGAGAACGATAAAGTTTTGAGGAACAAAGCAGCTGAATGCAAGACAGCATGGCCAAAACAGTGTGTTTGCTGGGTCTGCTTGAGTTATGGCTTATGCTAACAGAACTAAATGTCTTCAGGCAGTTGCATCCACAGTTGCAGACTTAACGGCAAGCCAGTACCCTCTTGTCTGAATATCTGTGCCTGGAGAGCTTGCAGACTGGAGTATGAGGCAATAAGTAGACAATGTGAGCCATTAGTCGTTTATGCTCCGACAGCAGTCCTAAACAAACAAGATCATATAGATGTAGCTCATAATAATAATAAACAGTCTTTCAGTAGTAGGATGAGAGGCAATGAGCACAAACTGAAACACAGGAAGTTCCATCTGAACATAAGGAAAAGCTTTTCTGCTGTGAGGGTGTCTGAACACTGGAATAAGTTACCAGAGAGGTTGTGGAGCCTCCATCCTTGGAGATATTCAAAAGCTGCCTGGACAGGGTCCTGGCGACGTACTCTAGATGAGCCTGCTTGAGCAGGGGGGTTGGACTAGATGATCTTTAGAGGTCCCTTCCAACCGCCGCCGTTCTGTGATTCATGTATAAAAGTTGTTAAAAGGGTTATCATAGCAAATCATCCATTAGTTCAGCTGAGAGATAAGTCTAAAAGTAATCAATTTAATGAGCCATACAGAAAGGTTAGGATAGATATCAGTAAAAATATCTGATTACAGAATGGAGGAATCTCTGCATGGTTTTTAAGGACTACCTAGACAAAGGTGGCTTAGCACTAATCCAAGTATTGCAGTGAGGCAGGGGTTTTGACTTGGTCAGGGTTGAGTCACCCTTGTCCCACAGTCTGCATACAGCCTGCCACAACAATTAATTGGCCAGCTCCTTGACACCTTCCTTAGTGACCTCTCAGGCATGGCCAGGGGCCTGAGGACTGGATGAGTTGTCATACTTGAGTATAGATTTAGGTGTCTGCATTAGGTCTGTGGTTCTTAAGCCAGAGACTGTACTCTTGAGAGGGCTAGAGAGTGAAGGAAGGTGTTCTGGAAAAGGACAACCTGTCATCAGGGCTTACTAAGAGTGAAATAAGGGCGGCAACCAGGAGAATATATGTGGACAAGAGATGGGGCCTGAGAATGGAGTGGCAGCTGGGAGAAGGGCAGGCAAGCAGATCTGAAAATAAGGCTAATTTGGAATTTTTGTCTATCCAAGGCTTCAGAGGGGTAACTCCTACTTATCCATAAATACTTCTACTCCTGGTAATTTCTTTTGAAGAAACTGAGCTGTGTTCTCATTCATTTTCTGATGCACTTTTATGTCAAATATTGCCAGGAACTTTGCAAATTGTAAAGTGTCGTGGTAAGGAATTGTACAGGCTTTTCTTGTGCACTCAACTGAGGTGGAACTAAAACCACAAAGGAAATATCACTCACTGCCTTTGGAACTGAGATGCATGGTCTGAAACAAAGAAGAGCAAAAGAATCTACTTAGAAACTGAGTACAAAAAAGAAAGCCAAAAAGCAGCATGCAAAATGTTTTGTGTAAGAAAAGAGATTTGGTTCTGTAGAAGGGAATGTGGCAGGCTGACATCCCCTCTACCTTCTCCTGAGTTCTTGTTAGGGAGGTAGAATATACACAAATTCTGCTGGAGTTTTTTATGAACTCTGTCACCACACCAATCTCCAAAGAACTTATGCTAGCATATACCTTTTCTACGCTGCCCTGATTGCCTAACAATGATGTTTAAGCAAACCTTTGTTAACTGAGGTAGCAAATGTTTCTCAGTGGTATGGTCTTTTTCTTACACAAATTGCACTGACTGATCGATGGATGTGATGCAGATCTGACCCTGTCCCAGGCAGCGTGAGGAGCTGAAAACTCTCCCTCAAGATGCAATTTGTCTCTTTTTTCTGTTTCCACTGATCCAGGATATTAGGTCAGTCATGAAAACTCTTTAGCGCACAAGGTTGACATCAGGACCAGCAGCTTCCTGTTGTCTTTTCCCTCATAGTAAAAGCTTTAGTTGTCTTTTTAAATGCTTTTAAATCCTAGTGAAGAAAATGGGAATTAGGAATGAAGAGAGACCCCAGTATCAGACCATCAGTTATTTGAAAAGTTGAGGTTTTCTAATAACAAAAGTGGTTAGTTTTCATTAAGCATAGATAAGCAGAATAATTTTTTTCTCTTTGGTTTGCCCGTGTTCTTCTCCAGCCTGCACTTTGCTATTCACTTGGTCTCTGCAAAAGTCTGTTTTTCTCTAAGTGCTTTTACTGCTGTTTCTATTTACTACTGTTGCCCCTTGTGCTGCTTTGAAGCAGGGACTCCATTTTTCTATTCAGTTGTAAAGTAGTATAAATGTGCATGAAGTCATAAAGCCAACATAAATCTCAGAATCTAAAGCCATACATTATTACATTAGTTGGTAAGTGGACTCAAATAGTTCAGTTAATAGTTAAATTAATAGCTGGTTCTTGAACTAAAAATTGACCTTGGAAACTCTTTGCCTGCAACAGTCCCCAGCATTTTACGTGGAAGATTTGTGTAGTGTAATGGGCCTGAGGTGCTGGGAACCACCCTTACCAATTTTCTATCCATTTTCCATTTTGCAAGAAAGTTGTAAACTGTACAGAGGCTTGTCTATGAGGGCACTGGAGTCAGAAGAAGTAAAAAGCCAGAAAACAGGCTTCAGAGCTCAGCCGCTGTGACTGAAGTTCACCTTCAGTTTGAGGCAGAGAAGTCTCTAATTGGTGGAGTAAACAGTCCTACACTGAGCTCTGTGAAATAATTATACTTAGAGAAAACAGCTGTATTGATTTTTGTATGTCCTATCTTTCACTCTCTTGTTATCTTACTTAGAATGAAGATAAATCTCTGGATGGATTGGTTTTGACCATTCAGTGGAGCAAGTGGGTTGTTTCAGAACATGCAGAAAGCTACATGCTCTCAAGGATTAATAGTGGATAGTTTGATTACAATTTTATCCTTAGATGGTAATTTGGTATTTGATTTTTGAGAAACGGTTTTCATGAGAGCAGAGCTGTCAGCTCTGTGGCCATGTGGACTGTAGATAAGTGATATCTCTAAACAGTAAGATCTTCCCTGTCATGGATTTTCATTGTGCTAGTGTCTATGATCTCCTGTTATGGAGCAGGATCCCTTTATAATGGCACTGTACAAATCCGGGGACCAAAGCTGGTTCCTGTTTCAAACAATTTACCTAAGTAGAAGGCAAGAAATAACATTTGGGTACAATAGCCAATAGAGCAAAGGGAAAAAAAGAGGAGAGCGCTGGACATCATGATGAGTGGTGGTTGAGGTTCAGCAAGTGCCTGACCAAGTGGCAGTTGTGGTCAGTCTTTCCCTCACAGATAAGAGATTATTTTTGTTGATAATCTACTTTGTTTCTCCATCAACTCCACTAGACAACAAATTAAGAAATGAATTGCGGTTTTCAATTATTATTAACAAATATTTCAGACTCTCTTATGAATCTTTGAAATAACATTTTTGAGGATTTATTTATATTATACAAATGCAATTTTGGATTTTACTCTTGCAGGCATTGCAGAAGAGTTATTTCTGAAAAAGTTAATGAATAGGCAGCAGCTGTGAATGAGGGAGATATTCTAGTTATTTTCATTGTTATTTAAGGACTGTTTCCTGGGACATCATCATGTCATTATCTTCAATTAAAGAAAAAAAGAAGATGGAGAAAAATGGTGACAGGCATCACCATCCCCTTCATCATCACACAGCCTTTTAAAATGAATTAGGACATGCAAGATCTGATCCTGCTATCATTTGAGTCAATTGCAAACTCTTGCTACCTTAAACATTGAAGAGTAGTATTGAGCCCTGAGCTGTGCGCTCAAAGGGAGCAGGCTGCTTTGATGCA